TGGGTGGGTGGGTGGGTGGGTGTGCGTGTGTGTGTGTGTGTGTGTGTTTGTGCGTGTGAATGTGTGTGTATGGTTGTGCGTGTGCGTGTGTTTAAATACAAAGCAATATACATTCAACCGGGTCTTAACTGTAGACAGCATCTCGTCTTCGTTTGGGCTATTAAGAAAGTTGCTTTTTCTTACAATAACGAAATTCAAGTAAATGTATAAAGGGGCGTAAACAAGTCTTTACTTCATTTCAGACCACACTTTTAGGTGTGTGTGGGGGGTCCTCAGCTCGCATCTGTTTCCACTTTACACCTGTGTCCATTGTTTGTATTCAGTGGTAGGTAGCAATGACTTTGAATAAAATGAATCATATTTATGCACACACATCAAGCCAATTAAAATTTAGATCATAATTTATAGGAGATAGGCTGCTTTGACCCTGCCTGCCAGGACCAACCAGGACAGAGAACAACATAACATCACAGTGGGTGGTTGATGGGTACTCTGGTATGGTTTGCTTTATCTTTCCTATCAAACATCTGTCGTTCTTATCTCGCCTTCATTTGTGTGTGTGTGTGTGTGTGTGTGTGTGTGTGTGTGTGTGTGTGTGTGTGTGTGTGTGTGTGTGTGTGTTGGTGTGTGTGTTTGAGTGTGTTTTTACTCTCTTGTTACACCTCAAATGTTATACACGTCTATGACCTCATTGTGTTGTATTGCCGTGAAACACTTATTAAAACTAAAAAGCATCCCAGCAGAAAGGCGTAGATATTCGACAATACGAGCTGTCCTGGCTATAGCTGGTTTCTGTCGTTTGTTTGTCACTGCCTTAGAATTATTAAGTTTTGTCTGACATTTTTGGTCGTTTTGAGTTACTAATGTTCTATCTGCTCTATCAAAATCGTTAGAGTATTCGGATTCGTTTTCAAGATATTCCAAGAATCGCATTTGAAAAAGCTTGACCTGTTGTGGAACTCAACGTTTTTGACATAAAGTTTCTCAAAGCTAGGTACTTAACCCTATCCGTACGTCTTGTTTTACTATCGTATCCATACGACGTGGGGAACTCTGTGCCACCACTTTCCAAAGAGGAAATTTACTCGTTAATCCGATCCGTGCGCTTCGAATAGCAGTCTGTCAAAACGATTTTTCTTTTAAATACTGAACGTTTCAAAGAGATCTTCGTACTAGAAGTATTCTAATATGTGAAGAATACAACCCCGGGGGGTACAAAATGACCCTAGGGCGTACGGATAAGGTTAAGCAGGTAGAACTGTGTAATTCTAAGGTATCGATGTAACAACAATGAGAAGCTTAACCAATACACCACACCGCAGACGCCGATGTACAACATTGCTACCGTCATTTTCCAAAGTACAGTATATGCAGTTTTTACAACTTTACAGGAGAGCCAAAGAATCGAATGCTGTTATAAAGAAAATAACATTTACTTTGAAGATAATAAAACAGTTATAATCAAAATTGGATTTTTAAACAAATTCACTTTGAATATTTTCAAAGAGTTTGTTTTCTTGTAATAACATTCAGTTTTTCGGCACTCCTGTAAATCAATAAAAACCTGGATATTACTGTACTTTTGAAAATGACAACAGACTGTTCTGTTATCTAAGACAGCTGAGAACAATTTAACGAGCTGGTGTTTCCCCCAATAACGTTAAGGATAAATATGTGCAGCGTTGTGGTGAAATCAAGGTCTCGTCAAAATAAGGAAATCAAAAAAATCAATTATTTCCACCCGTTTGGCAATTTTTATCGGTTTTTTTTTTCTAAACACATTTTACACTCACGTAAAATACACATTCTTACATTCAAAGGTACAAAAAAGCAAACTTGCAGTTTCCATGAACACTACTGCTTTGAAAGTCACCGCATTTGACGTTTTTTTTCTCGCTAATTTTACCTCTGACACCAGGTAAGCCCTGTCTCTTTCAATCGCAAAAATCTCTACATCTATTCCAGATAGATTGATATTTTTGTCATCTAGAGAAAGACAAATAAAGAAGCGCCCAGATTATGCGAAACGCCATAAGCCCATAAAATGACGAGCGCAGGATTTCACTGTCGTGGGACATGTCGTTACCTTAGAATTGCAGAGTTTTAACTGCTCAGTACTTAGTTTTGAGAAATTTGACGATAAAAATTTTGAGTTTCAAAACATGTCAAGCTATTTATTTCGAATGCAATTTTAAATATATATCTTGCTGACAACTCCGAATAATCTTACGATTTTGATAGAGCAAATAGAGCATTTGGTTTCTGATCTCATAGGCTTAGTACATCAAAACGGCCAAAAATGCCAGATAGAACGTTATAATTCTAAGTTAGCAATAGACTGTTTTTGAGGCTTTCCTCAAGACAGCACACCCCGCTGAAAAGTGTAACATCTCTCCGTCTGTCAACGCGGGCTGTGTCATAACAGAAATGTTAATGAGTGGATCTCTAAGACTCGTTTTTTTGGGGGGTGGTTGGTTTTTTTTGTTTTGGTTTTTGCGGTAATGCAATCTGGTGAGATGTGATGGTGTAAGTGAATGACGTTCGTGGAAAAACAAAATTCATTATTTTCTTTATGGCGGAAAGGGGGGGGAGAGGGAGGTAGGGGCAGGAGGAGGAGAAAGAGGAGGACGACGACGACGACAACGAGGAGCGAGAGGGTAAGGACGGAGAGGAGGAGGAGGAGGAAGATGAGAAGTAGAAGAAAGGAGAGTAAAGAGAGCGTCTGAAAAAAAAGAGAATAACTATAATGCTGGCGAGAGGATAAAATATGGGAAGGTTGTCATGACGAATGTCAAAATGACAGACGAATAGAGGGAGGAATAGCTTGATCATTAGATTCTTTAAAAGACTGCGTTAGAAGGACTTTTTTTCAATCGACCCACACATTCGCACAAATTCAACTCACACATTCAACTCATACGTTCAACTCACACATTTACTCACAAATAAATACAATTAATATACCCCTACACGTGCACGTATACACAAAATAATAATATACTAAACCCGTTCTAAAAGAAGTAGATAGATAGATAGATAGATAGATAGATAGATAGATAGATAGATAGATAGATAGCAGGCAGGTAGGTAGGTGGCTAGGAAGGTTGATAGGTAGATACACAGGTTGATAGACTGACAGACGTAGCTTATTATGTTCATACACACTTATCATTAATCGAAGTCGTCCCGTCCAGGGGCCAGATTAAAAGGGGTGGGGAATTTTATGAGAAAAGTCTTCTAATGTTCTGGAGCTTGTGTCCACAGAAAAGGTCTAAGACTACTTAAAAGACAAAAACAATAAACGGTGAAATAAAAAAAATCTTCGAGTTTCATATTGGTGTGCAGTATTGTGATATTATTTGTTTGTTTTTGTAATTGTTTTTACGGCGCTCGCAACTGCATAAGGTCTTATGAGCGCGCGGGACACATTAAACTTTTTTCAGCTGGTAGGAAATTTTTAATTTTTGGCCGGGTGGCGGCCTAAGCCTACTCTTATCGATTTTAGACCACCAAGAGATCTTTAACGTGTGCAACTTGCACACGGGCCCTCCGAGATTTTTCGCCCTTGTCCGAGAAGGCTAGGTGTAGATCTTTCCTACCAGAAGATCAGGGGTGTGGCTGCAAGACAGCAGTAAGAAGAAGCCAAGGAGTAGCAGTAGAAAGGATGTAGAAAGAAACAGGAGCCCAGAAGAGGGGGGCAAAGGAGATGAGGGAGTGGGGGCAGAAAGAGGAGACGAAAGCAGACGACAGAACATTGCTAGAGAACAGGAAAGGAGGTGAAAGGAGATAAATTTAGAGAAGAAAAATTTTCGGTCACTACCCGGAATCGAACCCGGGACCTTTGAATGAGAGGTCAACACCTTAACCTCTAGGCCACGAGAGCCCCCATTGTGATATTTACTTGCTCACATTTAATAGTCAATGCATGTCTAAAATAATATTAATATTAGACTACGTGGCGCCCTAATAGTAATAGAGCTATGGGCACCGGAAAAAATCATGCAAATAAAGATTAATGAATAGAAAGAAAGAAAGATAATGAATTTGAACAGAAAGAGCGATAGAAAAAGAGAGAAAGAAAGAAAGAAAGAAAGAAGAGAGAAAGAAAAGAAATTGAAAGAAAGAAAGAAAAGAGAAAAAAGAAAGAAATTCAAACCAGGTGAAGAAAAGAGGTAGAAAGTGGATTGAGCTGAGAGAAACATTAACTATAATCAAATGGGCTTACCATAAAAGGAATATTTTTTTACCTATCAGAAGTCCACGTATCTCTCAACCATCCAATCAGGTGTTGCTATCGTAAATATCCGCCTTGTTCAGGAAGGAAGTCAGATTTAGAGCACCACTTCAGTACTTCAGGTTTGACTGAGAAAAAGAAAGCCAACAAAGGCAGTCAATGTTTAACCGTCTGTTTGGCTGTTCGTCTGGAAAATCGTTGTCTAAAGTATGTAAACATGGGTCATAATAGCAAGATATATTACATAAGGTACGCGTTAAAATACAATATGTGACTATCACGCTAGACAACCACAACGTAATATAATGTCTGAAATTTAAACAACTTGAAAAGTTCGGCTTTTGAAGAACAATGCATGTACTGTATTCAGTTGAACTTTGGCCTGTGATAGGCGAAAGAGAAAGGGAGGGAGAGAGAGAGAGAGAGAGAGAGAGAGAGAGAGAGAGAGAGAGAGAGAGAAAGAGAGAGAGAGAGAGAGAGAGAGAGAGAGAGAGAAAGAGAGAGAAAGAGAAAGAGATTGAAAGAGGGTAAAAGGGGGAAGGAGAATCAGATGGGGGAAGAAGGAGGGGGTGAGGGGAGAAAGGGCCTCTCTCCTCCCCTCTCCCCCCAAAAAACACCCAAAAAAACATGACGTCAAATTCTTTTCTTCCTAAAAAAAAAAGAGCAGAAACGGAAGCAATAAATAAATAAAAAATAAAGTGAAAAAATAAACAAATAAATAAATAAATAAATAAATATTAAACACAACTATGTTCCAGCATGTCAGCCCATCCCACAACAATCAACAAAGCCTATATGAGCAAACTGCACAGGAATTCAGTGAGACAAGGGAGAACAGTATAATACTCAACCAAGCAGACTCAGAGCAGAGTGAGGAAAGAGGCGAAGAAACAGAGATGAAGAGATAGCAATCTGTTCTCATTACTGGGTCCTCATTATCACTTGGACATGTTACACGGCGCTATTTGCTGGTTCCGTCCCAGTGGACAGGGGGAAGTTATCGTGTGTGTGTATGTGTGTGTATGTGTGTGCATGTGTGTGTGTGTGTGGGGGGGTGTGTATGTGTGTGCATGTGTGTGTGTGTGGGGGGGTGTATTTGTGTTTGTGTGAGTGTGTGTGCATGACATAGAGAAAGAGAGAGAGAAGGGGGGGGGGTAGGGAACATAGAGAGTGGGCGAGCGAGAGAGAGCGAGGGAGAGAGAGAGAGAGAGAGAGAGAGAGAGAGAGAGCTAGAGAGAGCTAGAGAGAGAGAGAGCTAGAGAGAGAGAGAGATAGAGAGAGAGAGAGAGAGAGAGAGAGAGAGAGAGAGAGAAAGAAAGTGTGGAGCGTGATTTGGGGGGGGGGGGCTGGTTACTCGTTAGGAAGTCCGGATTGGTCAATGTCCTGGCTAGATGACGAACGTCATGGTCCTGGGAGAATCCCCCGGATTAGGGACATGGCTGTGGGGACTGTGGCTAATTATTTTGTGACAAGCTTGATGCTCATTAAGCACAGGCCAAGCCAGGGTGTAAAGGTTGGAACTATTTTTGGAAAGAAAAGTTCAAAAGTACGTGCCGTTTTCCCAGAATCTGAACGCTGTGCTTATACTTATACTAACTCTGGCGATCTTAGACAATAAGGTCAGGAGGGATGTGGCTGAAAGATAGCAGTAAGAAGGAACCAAAAAAGTAGCAGTAGAAAGGCTGCAGAAAAAGAGTCAGGAGCCCACAGAAGGGGGGGAAAGGGGTTAGTCATATTGCTTACCCAAGAAAAAAAAAGCTGTTGAAAGAAAAATCCCAGGAGAAGTGCAGAGGGCGTGAGAGAGGGGGGGGGGGACACTAAGGAACTAAAAGTCGGCACATAAGGCGGAGGTAATTGAATCATTTTTATTACTAAACCTGGCGTCTTCCGAATGCCATGGGAAGAGCTGACTCCTTCAGCTTTGTCAGTGTGATCTATTCAAACTTCCGTCGGCCTAATGATACGAAATCCAGTCCGGAGAAACGTGTATTTTTAAAACCAAGCTAGCGTCTAGTGAGTGTCATGAACATCATGACCTTTTTTTCAGCTCAGTCTAAGTGATCTACCCGAACCACAGTCTGGCTGACAGGCTTAATCAGTGTCCGAACATTTGTGTCACAACGCCGTGAAACCAGGCGCTCGTCAAAATTCCGGGGCGTATTGTTATTATTATTATGTTAAACACACATCTATCTTGAGTAGCATTCGAGATGTGGGGAATTGAAAGATGTGGGAGCAGCCTGATGTCAAGGGTAAAATGAACGAGAAAAAGGCCGCCAAAAATGTAGTGATTTCCAAAGCGGTGGTATCCTTGATCAAGGATTGTTGTTTTTAGAAGTAAAATCCATGTCGGAATGTGTTTTATGTGGACATAAAAGCTGTTGAGCCTAGAGAAAGGTTTTTTTTGTTTTTTTTTTGGGGGGGGGGGGTTAAATAGGCCAACGTTTTCTTCGATTTCATTTTATTGACGAGCGCCTGATTTCACCATGATGCCTTACACATTTGCTATTTTTCGGCACAGTCCTTTCGGAGATTGGCATCTACATAGAGGTTCCATCGCTTTTCTTAACTCGTTGAGGGCGTGCATTCTGGTAAATCGTGAACACTAATGACTCGTTGTTTTGGGGCTCGTCGACAACAAGAACTATAACTTTTTTTATTCATACAGACGTCAGGAATGGTGCAAATCTGTTACGTGCTTTGGTTGTTTCCTTGACACTACTGACAGTCCAAGTATCTGTTGTGTGTTGCCACATCTTAGACGCTACTAGTGGTCATAAATCTGATCTGTGTTTGGCTGTATTTTAGACGCCATTGGCAAGGCAGACAGAATCAGCAGTGTGTTTGGCAACATCTTGAAAGATACTAACAAGTCATTAACCTGTCGTGTGCTGCTACATCTTAGATACTGCTGGTAGGCATAAATTATCTTGTGTTGCTACAAAATAAACGTAATTAGCAAGGCATGAATATACTTCGTATTGTAACATTTTAGACACGACTGGTAGTCATAAAGCTGTCGTGACATTTTATGCACGACTTGGAATGCCTAGATTTGACGTGTGTTTGTCTACATCCAATACACTTTTTTTTGTAAATGTTTTACGGCACTCGCAACTGCATAAGCTCATATGAGCGTGCTGGAAACATTAGGCATTTTTAATTTGGTAGGAATTAATTTGGCGCTCGGGACCTCCTAGATTTGTTTGCCCTTCCGAGAAGGCTTGGTGTTAGATCTAACCTACCCTAAAATCAAAATTCCCTCCTTTTTAACATCTTTCCATTTCCTTTATATCCTCCTATCCCTCCATTCCAACCCAACCCCCCCCCCCCCAAATTGCCCACATAGCAGTACCGACCCCTCAGATACAACTTCATTGACTGTAGTACTACCACTGCTGTGCCTTCGGAGGGCACTATAAGTTTGTAGTTGCAAGGACTCAAGTTTTATTTTATACAATGTAACATCAAAAATGAACAAATTTATTAATTTTATGGTTTTTGTTCATTTGCATATGTCCATGCAAAATCACAGAAATGTAATTCCAATATACTACATTTTCCAACATAATCATGGCACTTGTTGATAGAAGACATTCTACGCAATAATATGTAAGCTTCTGGTCATCATTTCACTTACTGATCTTATTTCTGCATATCTAGATTTAGATGGGTGTGTGGGTGTGTGGGTGTGGGGGGGGGGTATATTCATTTTATTTTAAATATCCATAAATTCAAGCACTTTCTTTCTCATTGGCACAATAACGAGGCGTTTGACTCGTAGTCGGCCAACAGAAAAAGCCCAGAGAAAAAATGTAACAAAGATGAATCTCAGAGACATTGGACTAACTCTAAAAGACAGGGATGTTTAACAACAAAATAGCACTCGACATAAATAAACACGATATTTAGGTGCAAAAGAGACATGATCACACTCCATCTCTCCTATCAAACATGAATAGTTCTCAATAAAAGTCTCGCCTCCTTCTTATGTATATTATATTATGTGACTCTCTCGTAGCATTTTAAATCTTCAGCATTTCTGTGACCTATTTGTGTTGCAAGTGACGCACAGCTCTTACAAAAGCAAGGCGTGGCAACACTCCGGCACATTTTCAGTCCACAAGACTGACCACAAAGTCACAGTTCAAACTGAAGACTGACATGGGCTTAAAAGCAGGTTATGTTGGAATAACACACTAGTCACGGTCGTTATTGGTCAAGAGTGAATGAACTCTGTACCCTGGACAACCTTCCGACCGTTGCCGTCTCTCGCAACATTGCAACTGTGTCGTTTTTTATTTTGGATCTGTTTGTTTTTTATTCTTTGTTTTTAGTTAGTTTTTATGTTGTTGTTGTTTTATTATTTTGGTGTTATTGCCAGAGGCTGAGTAAGCAAAAGTGAGAGAAGGTGGGGGAAAGGTGGAAGGGGGGGGGGGGGAGGAGGAGGTTGTTGTTTGGGGTTGTTTCAGGTTTATGAAAAGCAGGTCGTTTTCGCTGACCTTGACCCTGCCTGTCAGGACTGGGTGAACCTGAGAAGTAACCTAAGAAGGATACAACGTCCCACCCAGCAGAAAGACCCAGATACTCGATTTTTTAAAATGTCTACCCCCCCCCCCCACCCCGTGGATATATATCGTCCTTTCATCTTCTCATCCGCAGCGCTACATCACTTAGACCACTAATGTGACGAGGGAAATTAAACATTTTTAGAGATCCTGAAGAATTCTTTTCGAATTCTCAGAGAATTTGATTGAACAGAAACATTACACAATTCAATCTGCTCCCCCCCCCCCCCCCCCCCCCCGTCCCCCATCCTCCTCAAGTCCCTGCCGAACCAAGGTTTTCTGTGAAAGCCTAGTGCCCAACCTATCTTTCCCTCGAAAGGACAAAATCATCACGAGCAACGACCTCGTATCTCCACATGGGTGGAAATTGAATTCAAAACAAATCACCCTACACCAGCCTCATGTGTACTAACTGATCCACGTATTACACTTTAGTATTCCCACTGACTGTAGGCTGACGATCTCTCTCTCTCTCTCTCTCTCTCTCTCTCTCTCTCTCTCTCTCTCTCTCTCTCTTTCTCTCTCTTTCTCTCTCTTTCTCTCTCTCGCTCTCTCTGGCT